CCGTATTGAGTTCACTGCGGCCGTATTGAAGCTTCAATACGGCCGTATTAAGTTCAGTACGGCCGTATTGGGCTTCATTCCCTCCACTTCCTTATTTTGAGCTATTCTAAGACCTCTAGACCTACAGAGAACCCTCCTAGGGCCTTCCAGGAGTCCTTCTGGCTGATCTTCCTTCAGTCTTCGAGAGTCTTCAAGCTTTATTTCCGACCCGGACAATTTTAGGGGTCTACAGTCATCAGGACAAAGCACTCGTAAAAGCTCAATGACCAAACAAAAAATAAAAGACTTTGCAAGATTTTCATGACTTTTAAGATTTTGTAAGATTTCACAAGACTTTCAATCAGAATTTTAATGGATTATGCAATACTTTTAAGTTAAGATTTTAATAGATTCTGCGGGACTTTGTGAACTTTGCAGAATTTCATAAATTTTTGACATAGGATAAGAATTCAAGATTTTTTTCTTACATTCAAATTTAAAAAGAGTCAAATATAAAAATAAAAAAAACAATAATATATGGATAAATAATAATAATAATTTTTCGTAATTGTTGCGGGTTGCATCAATTGTCCCGTGGCGGAGGCTAGGTGGGCCAAGTCACTGTCGAATCATGGCGCTTGGGTTGCTACGCTCTTAAGTAGATAGAGTTGTGCCTTGACTATCAGCTATAGCGTTTGGCCTAGTGATAAGTGCTCGATCCAACAATTGGTATCAGAGCCAAGGTCATGAGTTCGATACCCGCTGATAGTTTCTGGCCTAGTGGTAAGTGCTCGATCCAACAGTAATATCATGTTGTTCAAAATAGAATTCATCTACATATTCATAGCTATACTAGTCCTCCAAACATTAGTATCTTTTCGCTATTGCTTTTGTGTTTTAATAATAGGCTCAAAATTATGATTTTCATTAACCAGTAATGTTGAAGATGAAGGTTCGTCCACCATTTCAATTAGAAATTCATCATAATGACATTCTTTACGAAGAAAGTTATTGCTTATTAAGTAATTATGTTGGGGTAGAGGGTGTCACACTATGAACTTTTTTGGATTTGAACGTAAATTATATTTAGTAGTTTTTTATATAACTGAATTTAATATTACAACACTAAAAGAAATGTTACATCCTGTAACATACAAAAAGTGTCCTTGTAGATAGACATGGCAACGGGGCGAGGCAGAGATGGGTTTTATGTTCCCCATTCCCGCCTCCGCAAATTTAAACCGCCCTCGCCCCCGCCCCGATACCCGTTGAAGATAAAATCTGTGTACCCATTCTCGCTCTTGGCGGGATTCGGGTTTCCCGCCCTACCCCTGTCCCGCTCCTATTTTTTCTTCTTTTTTTTCTTTTTTTAAAAATAAATATGAACAAATTTAAAAAAAAATAAAAGAAAAATAAAATAATATAAATTTTTTACATATAAATATTTCTAATTTTGGTTTATATATATAAAAATAATTTTTTTAATTTTTTAATTTTTTAGTAACATCTATTATATCACTATAAGATAATTTTCTTGTAACGTAAGCTTTGTTTTGAATCAATCAAAATTTGATTTAACATTGTGTTGTAAAATTATAAATTATTATTATTTTAAAATGATTAAATTGACTCAAATATAAAAATAAAAAAAAATCAAAATAAATATTTTAACAGATAAAAGATTTAAATGAATAAAAAAATATCATAAAGAACCAAAAAATATATATAATTTAGCCTAAAAAAATAAGACTTTTTTGAAGTCGAAAACATTATAAAAAAATATTTTAAAATTGAAGTGCATTAATGTTATACTTTAAATTTGATACAATATGTTAAAATTTAAAATTAAAATCCGAATTTGAATCGACTAAGTTTAAGTAATAATATTAAGTGAAACAAAATAAAAAAGTAAGATAATTGATCCAAGAAAACTTACATAATTTATTTTACAAAAAGAAAGGGAGAATAATTAATATTTATAATTTTAGTAATTAAAAAATAGTTTTAATTACATTTTTTGTTTTCAAAGTTTCACAATTTTGTAACTTTTGTCCGTAAAGAATTTTTCACAAATTTTACACTTCAAATTACAAAATATCTCAAATTTTACCACATAAAAATTACCACAATTTATAGTTTTCGTGGTGATTTTTCTTTCAAACCATTACAATTAAGATAATTAACTTTGTAATCATTTTTTCTTTTAAATTGTCACTATTTCTTTTTTTTATGTGGAATCAAAATTCACGATCTTTTATAAATTGAGTAAAAATTGAAGAAAAAAAATTCACAAGATTGTTTTGAAAGCAATAAATGCAATTAGATCTATATATATATATATATATATATATGAGGAGGGTTCAAACGACACCGGTGTAACTTTTACTAAGTGTTACACCGCTTAATAACTTTATATTAAATGTGAATTTTGAAAATCCAACCGTTAGATTGAAAGTTCATATCTCTTAGATCATATATGTCAAATTTTGTTAAAATTGAACAACAACTTGAAGGTAATCAAAGTGTTCATATTTTAGTATATTTTGAAATGTATATATTACGTCAATTTAATTGTTTTGTGATAATGGAGTATCAAATCATCTTATATTAATATAAAATTTGACATATATGATCTAAGAGATATGAACTTTCAATCTAACGGTTGGATTTTCAAAATTCACATTTAATATAAAGTTATTAAACGGTGTAACACTTAGTAAAAGTTACACCGGTGTCGTTT